CATATTAACACGGCCCACTTAATTCTATTTTCCGTAGCTCTATGTCATTTATGGCGCAAATACGAAAAAGGGCCACTAGGGGAAATATTATCGAAAAACGAGGGGCTCGGTTTCATGCAGCCTCCCACCCGGGCCAGAGGTCCCAGAATTTCCTCACTACCATTGCACAGCACATAGGCCTTAGACACCCACTCAAGGCACCAATCTCCTTTGTAGTGAGCAGGATGATGGGCCAATTTGGGGGTTTTTTGGGCCATAGGATGTATGTTGCCGCTGCGACGACTTTAGCAGCTACAATGGTTGAGCCGAACTTGCTGCCAATCGTGTGCCATGTGTTGCGGCGACAGTTGGTGACAATCTTCGCCAGCCAGAGCCCGTTCCAGCTCGAGCCCTTTGGTGGCTTTGCAGGCTTGACACCTGTCCATTTGGTGCGCACCCCCCTCCTCTCCCCCTCATCGTCTGTCGACTACTCGGACATGTTCCACGCACTCGGGCACCCGACACGTTGTGCGCCTGGGTAGTAGCAAATCCTCGTCCGAGCCCCTCTCCCACTTGTCCCACTCAGGCATGTTCCACGCACTCGGGCACCCGACACGTTGGCCACCGCGTCTAGGGCATCTGATGCAATCAGCGCCATCTGTTGGTTGCGGGTGCTTAGTACCTGTGCCTTTACTCCTAGTGTGCTCTGTCCCTCTGCAGCCGCGGTGTCTGTCACCTCCTCGTGGTGCTTCCCTCCACACCTTCGGTGATCGGACTCCGGGCTCCTGCGGTCGCTTTGGGAGCCACCTTTCCCCATCTCTCCGCCCGCCTCCGCACTCCCGCCGCCCCTCAGTACAGCTCCGGCAGGCTGCTAGACTGGCCCCGGCCCTGGTGGGGTGTCTTTCACGGCTTCCGCCTCCAGTTTTGCAACACTCTCGTGGCCAAGCACGACCCCTTGAAGGATGGAGAGCTCGCCCTAGAGGGTTTGAATGACCTGCGAGAGGTCGAAAACCTCGTTTTGCGTGCGCTCCATCACGTCGCCCAAATCCTTAATCTTCGCCGCGTGCATGCTCTCATCCGCTGCGACATCGTTCACACCCTTCTCCATGGCCTCCAGCCGTGTGTCGCGTGGATCGACCACCTCGACACCGTCGTCGTTTTCATCGCTAGTCGCGGACGCTGCCTCATAGTGCTGCGGCGGGATCGTCTTTTTGGCCTCTCGCAGGTTGTCAAGCAGGTGCTTTTCAGCATTTGCGATAATCAGGCGGTGGATGGCGTGCCTCATCTTTTCAGCGCCGTACTTGGCGGGCAGGATGTTGTCCTCCATGGTTTTGAAGCCGGATTCCACCTGCAATCTGAGGTACATGCACACGTAGACCCCGCAGTCTACGCTCCCGTCTTGATGTGGCACGTCAAAGTACTGCAAGGGGATGTTAATAAACACGAGAAGAATCGTTAAGCACGGGAACAGCCTTACATGAGTCGCATGTATGTGGAGGCAATATGGAGCGGGACCCTAAGCTCCGGCTTGCCTGGAGAGGCTTGCTCTCCACGCGGGACAACCGGTCGGTGATTTCCGCATTCGGCATGTCTTCGTCCTATGCTTGCAACGCACGCGTCCGAGGAGCCTCTTTGGAAAGGGCTCGCCGCAACACATGGTTGAATTTTCCGCGGCCACATTGAGCGTGGATGTTGGATACTCAAATTCAGGAGTCTAAAGCTCTGTATGACTCACGTGTTAATATTGGTGAAGATGGTGTCGGACATGGCGTAGTGGTAACGCGTGAAGTCGTATAGGATGGCTGGCGGCGCCGACGCCCCACCCGCGTACTCCTCGTTGGGCAGTTTGAGAGACCGTGGATTCTTCACCACCACGAGGCTGTAGTGCTTCGGCAGCGGTACCCTGCACGGTAAATGGCATGGGAGCACATGTCAGAACCGGCGAAGTGATCGCCAAAGGTGGAGACCGAAGAACATTTTCTTGGGTGAATATAGGTATCTTTCCTTCCTGACATTTCCGTAATTTAAGAGACGACGTACTCGTTGAAAACGATGATGGCGAGATAGTCGTGGTCCAACACTTTCGCGTTGTCCGTGCCGCTCGTGAAGTCGTCCCTGGTGACCACCTAGTGAAACGCCAGAGGGTCAACCGACAACCATGTCTTGCCATCGTCTAACACCGGATGCTCGATGCTCAGCACACTGCAGGCGGGAGAAGGCCAAGCCGGATTAGAATCGAGCAGTCGAGTGGCAAAGAGAGGTGTGCGTGGGCGTCGAGCATGCATCTACCTAGACATCCATCAAGCAGACTTAGACGATGTAGAACTCGAGGATGGGAGTGGATAGCTCCAGACCATCCTGGGTCTGCAGGGCATCCGGAGGCTTATGACTGCGCTTTGCGCGTACTGGTTGTAGATGCGGTCTGTGGGGAATTTATCGCTCTTGATAAGCGCGGGAAGCCTAGCTGTATAGGACGCTGGAACAATGAAGTCTTTGCCAAGCTTGGAGATTATGTCCTCCAGGGGCTCTTCGTGAGGCACCTACTTCATACGAATCGGGACCTCAAAACTCGACGGCGCGGCCGGCATACTCCTCGCGTCGTCGCGACCTCCCTTGCATAACCTACTCTAGCGAGATGTTCTGCGTCCACCCACTGGAGTCTGACTACGCTTCCCTCGGCCCAGCATGGCGGCTGCACTAACAGCTATGCTAAGAGTCTCACAACGCTATAGGCGTAATGGTCGTGTCTAACAATCGCGTAACAGCAGGGTCCGCAGAGTCTGCTAAGGTTAGTGAAGCCGTGACCTATTACTTGACTTATTCTAACACAATAAGTCATGACTGTAATATTAGAGGGCCACGGAACTTCTATCGGACTCCCATGCATGAACCACGAGCACTACCCTGGTTCATGTCGATTGGACTCCCATGGGCCTCACACACACCTGCCTCGGTGGTGAGCCACCCATCAGTTACGTACACGTGTATGCGTGTAACGGCATGCTCTTGTTGGCGCGCAGGACATCGTTAGTCAGATTGATGGCCAGGATTTTGGCGCCAAACACACTGTGACGACGCTTGGTGCATGCGCCTTTTGCTCGGTGCATTGTGGCAGCGTTGATGAGCATGTATCGATAAGAATACAAGCACGCTAGAATCATGTTAAGATAGGGCAAGGTTAGGAGCTAGGCATAGGAAAGTAGCGAGAGGTTTTAGGCTAGGAGAAAATGTCGAGAGGGAAGAGGTTTGGACTAGAAGAGAGAGGGATACAAGGAGGGGGTTGTACCCTCTACAGTAGGATCCACGATATACAGTACACCTACCTAGCCTATATATATATATGTATATACAATATATATATATATATATATACATGTTGACACACCCCCTAGGCTTGGTAGGCGATACGCAGAGAACAGACCCCGGCAGTTTTACTAGCCTGTCCACTGGTTTTAGCAGTAATGCAGCTCAAAAGAAAACACACCACGCATACAGCACACTAAGCCATACACCCCCTAAGCCTAGCACCCCCATACTCAGCAGCAGCAACACCTTCTCCAGCATGGTCAACCCCTCGGCGTGCGAGGCGGCGACGTCGACAGCGAGGGCAGCAGCTGCAACGGCGGTGACGGCGGCAGCGACGACAGCGGCGGCGGCGACGAGGCCAGCGGCACCAGCTGCGGTGGCGGCGGCTTCGACGACAGCGGCGGCGGCGGCGGAGCTCGCAACACACGGCGGCGTGGCCTGACTCCGTGACGGTGGAAAGGCCTGCGCGAGTCAGCTGTCAGCTGCGGCGAGGAAGGGGGGATGCAGGGGAAGGGGGCAGGGCTTCAGCAGCGGAGCCAGGGAGCGTGCCGCCCTGTGTGGCGCGCTGGCTGCATGCGGGCGTGCTGGCCAGCGCTAAGACCGGGTGCTGGCCGCTGCCGTCCGTTGTGAACGTTGTGAAAGCGTGATGAGCAGGCCCGAGAAGGACCTGCTCTGATACCATGTTAAGATAGGTCAAGGGTAGGAGCTATGCATAGGAAAGTAGCGAGAGGTTTTAGGCTAGGAGAAAATGTCGAAAGAGAAGAGGTTTGGACTAGAAGAGAGGGGGATACAAGAAGGGGATTGTACCCTCTACAGTAGGATCCACGATATGTAGTACACCTACTTAGCCTATACACATACATGTATAATATATATGTAGACAAATCACGCCGAATGGCAGCACGATGGTGAAATGATGAAGCTGCAACAGTGACGGAACCGACAAGATTGACAGACTGCCCGCGTAATCATAGCTTGACCGAAATGCTGCTGCTCTCTATGCGAAACGCCCTGCAATTGGGAGTGAGAATTCTAACTCGATCATTCACAAATGAACCTATGGGCCCAGAAAAAAAAAGGGATCTCAAAAACTTCACGTACCGTACGTTTATTAAACAATCCCCAAGGAATCGGGGCCGAAGCCCGGCGCATATTGTATACTCCGAAAGGAATTCGTGACGCGATTCGCCTTTTTTTTGTCATTCCCTCGAAATTGTCGTAAAGCGTGTGTCCGCGCGGGAGCCTTTCGCGCGGTACACGGCTCATGGTTTCGGGGACACGGCACGCAACATTTGCAATGGCGGGTACAAATTTCCGGCATCTGTGTTGTACGTATCGAAACCGTCCGAAGCCCGAAACGTACGCGCTAGACACGCCCTCAGATGCGTGGCGTCCAATTCGACCCAACTGCACACGTCACCTGCGCCCACAGTCGCGTCACCATCGTGTCAACTTCACCCCACCTCCTCCCACCCTCCTCCCGCCCATCACAAGTTTTCCCCCTCTCGTGCGGTGAATTCTAGTTATCTAGCGTTTCTATGCGGTACGAGGCTGTAGTATGGTCATTTTTTGCGCAACCGGCGCTTCGCCTGAACGCCCCAGATGTGGACGATTTATCCAAATGTGCTCCCACGTGGCAAATCAGTATGTCATCTGATCCGAGCCACATTCCTGGTCCAAGTGTGCTTTAGGAGACTCCTTCCTACAAGACTGCTCAGCGAGCAAAGATAGTTGGGGTTTAGTCTGATTCGAGAGTGGACAACAGCATCGCCTTCCCAACAGCATTGCCTTCTTGGTTGCACTTTTCTCTCGCCTTTCCTAGCTGCTCCAGTGAGCTTGGAAGGATATCTCCTGCTTTGTCTTTTTCACGCCACTCGCGTGTACTCCGTTGACGGCGTACTTTCACTGTTTTCTACGACCATCGAGAACTCCAATCCTTAATTTCGCAGGGTGATTTTTAAAATTCTTAGAAAACACCTATCTCCAGCAATAGGCATGTTCGTCCAGATGCTGCTCTACCTTTCACGTGCTCTCGGCCTAGAACCACCGCACGCAACGCTGATCAGCCCGAAGGGTCCAGCGCACAGCCTAAGGTGGGATTTCCAGGTCACCTTCGGTTCTAAGACTTACCGCGGCTGCGAAGAAACCTACCGGGGGATTCTGGACTCCATAAATAAAGAGGGCACGGAGGAAGCACCGTCCAAGGTTCCGAACGTCCCGATGAGTCGTAAGAAAAAAGACATGGAGTTGGTAGCTTACCGGGCAGCGTTTCTAGATGCTATTTTGGGGAATGTTTCCTTTCCTGACGCGCAGCCACCTGCGGACGCCGATCGCGTGGCAGAATTGGCGAAAGAAATAGCAAAAGCCGAGGCGAAAGGCGTGTTACAGGTCGACTGCGTCCGCATGTTACAAGGCCCGCCGGTCTACACTTCAATCGTGGAGGGACCTTCTCACGGCCCTACTTTCACCACCACCGTCGATTTACCCCCCGATTGGGGTACTTTCACGGGCGTCCCCTGTCAGTCGAAAGTTTTAGCTGAAAAGAGTGCGGCGTTTGAGGCATGGTGGGGTGTTTTCGTGGTGGGACCGTGCGAGTGAGGTGGGGGTCGGGTACGGGTTTGGCTGGTGAAGCGGCGGCGGAAGGGGTGCGGGAAAGTGAACCAGCAGCAGCAGCTGAGGCAGCAGCAGCAGGAGCAGCAGGAGCAGCTGAGGCAGCAGCTGTGCAGAAGAGGCAGCAGCAGCGGCAGCAGCAGCAGCAACAGCAGCAGCAGCAGCAGCGGAGGCATTGGCTGGGTTGTCCGTGGCGTCAGGAGTTATGGATCGCGGGGGGGGGGGGCAGCAGAGGGGAGCGGAGGGTACCTCGGGAAACAGAGGAGTCCAACACAGGGTTGCAGGGGAACCCAAGGAAAATGCCCTTCTGGTTGTGTAGGGGAAGGTGCACAGTGGGGATTGCCGCTGGAGGTTTGAGATCAAGCACGGGACTCGGTCCAGCAGCGAGTGTGACTGTACGGAATCAACGTTGTAGTGGTGGCGGCCTGCAGGGGCGGCTGCTCCAGGGGTGGGCTGCTGTAGGGACGGCTGCTGCAGAGGCGGCTGCTGCAGGGGCGGCTGCTGCAGGGGCGGCTGCTGCAGGGGCGGCTGCTGCAGGGGCGGCTGCTGCAGGGGTGGCTGCTGCAGGGGTGGCTGCTGTAGGGGTGGCTGCCGTAGGGGTGGCTGCCGTAGGGGTGGCTGCACGAGGTGGCGGGGATTGCACTTGGAGGCTTGACATAAAGCACGGGATTTGGTCAAGCAGCGAGTGTGACTATATGGAAGCACTGTACCGGTGGATGCAAGTAGTGGGCTGGGCCTTCAGACACATGATCCAGAACGGGTGTGAGTTACATGAGCTTCGTTGTGCAGCTATGGGGAGGAGCATCGGTCCTCGCGATTGGTTAGCCACTTCCATTGTCCTCTCTATCGTTTTCCTTCTCTCCCCCTCCCACCCACCCTCTCCCCTCCCCTCCCCTCCCCCCCCCCCCACAATTCTAACCCCCAGAACCCCTTCTTGTTTTCACAACCAAACTTCCACCAATCCAACAATGCTCGCACGATCGATGCTCCTCCCTGGCAGTTGCCCAGCAATGTAGGGTAGCTTCTTACTCTCTAATATTTCTTGGCTTTCAGTTTGTAGGAGTTTGTCCTAACATACCTGCCAGTTTGCTACCCTAAATTGGTTCAGTCCATTCGAGACCATTGTGTTTCACATGCTCACCTGTTATTAGTGTTGATTGCTATAATGTGATGGGCTGGTGTAACACTCATGGGTGTTGTTTGTGTTGGGCTGAGAAAAGCCCTTAGGATCTTTCCAGAGACTAAGTCCCAGTTGAAGAATGAGACTTGAGTAGTGCAGCGGAAGTTGAGTAGTTGAATCCTTGTACTAGTATATGAGAACAAGTAATTGATTAAAGAAACAAGCATACAGTAATATATAGAAAATAGGAAAGTAAAGCAGTTGTAGAATACAGTTGCAGGAGCGGTTATCGAGTCGCACAGCGACTCGATTGTCGCTTCGGTTACTATTCGTGCAGTTGTAACAGTCAGTCGCAACCTCCAGTTGCGACCCTTTGAGGCCCTTTGCATTAATTGTCCAGCCCCTCGTGTAACCTCCGTTGACTCGCGTACCCGTTGCGATCTTCCTTGAGTGTAGTGTTACACTTCAGAAACGCTTAAGTCCTTCGAGGTATTTCCAACACTCCCCTTCGTTTCTGGAGTGCTGACGTGTTCAGATCCGGTGACGTTTGTCTGTCCAGTCAGCAGCGTGCGGTAATCGAATTTTGCCTTCGCTCTTCGTCAGATAGTCTGCGGCCATTTCTGTCGTAGGGCAGTAACTGAGTTGAAGTCTCCCCTTCGCGATTTCATCCTTGACGAAGAAGTACCGCAGGGCGATGTGCTTGGTTCGGTTGACGAAGCCGTCCTTGTTCGCGATTTTGATCGCAGATTGGTTGTCGCAGAGGAGTGAGAAGACGGGCAGGGTCGCAATCTTCGCTTCCTCGAGCAACTCTCGTAGGTAGAGTCCTTCCTTGGTCGCAGTACAGAGGGCGATATATTCTGCTTCAGCCGAAGATCGTGCGATTAGTTCCTGCTTGCTCGACTGCCAGGAGATAGTCCCGATAGGTTCTAGTCGGTAGATGTAGCCCGTTCTCGATCGTCGATTTCCCTTGTCTCCCGCGTGGTCGGCGTCGACGTATCCGAGTAGTTGTACGACGATGCCGTTACTTTACTATAGGTAAGCCCGGTCGTCGGCGTGGAGACGAAGTAGAGTAGTGCCCGATTAAGTTCCTCGAGATATTCTTGTTCCGGCTGCTTCAGATGCGTCGCCAGTTGGCTCGCGCTATAAGATAGATCGGGTCGGCAGGTTACTGCTGCGAATAGTAGGCAGCCGAGCTTCTGCTGATACTCCTAGATTTGCTTCGCGGGGAGTTTTGCGGAGGTGCTGCTGTTGTTCCCGTAGCGGTAGGGAGTCAGGACCGTAGTTGGCGTTAGACCGAATTTCTTCGCGACAGTGCCTGCGTATTTTCCAGCGTGTAGGTAGAACGCAGAGTTGTCTTCGACGACATTCAGTCCCAGGTACTGGGTCACTGTGTCGGACACTGTGAGTGTCAAGTCCCCTTTCAGCTCCCCTTCGAACCAGGTGGCGATGTCGGTAGTGGAACCGATGTAGAGCAGATCGTCGACGTAAACGATGAGTAGGATATACTCTCTTCCCTTCTGCAGTCGGTACATGCCTTGGTCATGCGGCAGCTGTAGGAATCCGATTTTTACGAGGCGACCGTGAAGATGCTGCTGCCAGAGCCGCGGGGCTTGCTTGATCCCGTAAAGGGATTTTATCAGCTGGCATACTTTTGTGGGGTCGTCGATGAATCCGTGGGGTTGCTCGACAAAGATCTCAGCGTCCACAGGTGCGTACAGGAAAGCATTTGCGACGTCGATTTGGCGTAGTGGTAGTTTCTTCGTGGCCGCGACGGCGAGTAGGATGCGCAAGGAGGTGTGACGGGAGACTGGGGCGAATGTTTCTGTGCAGTCAGTTCCGTATCGTTGATCGAACCCTCGTACGACCCATCGAGCCTTGAATCGTTCGATGGAACCGTCCGCATTGGTCTTGATGCGGTACACCCACTTTCCCGAGAGGACGTTCTTCCCGTTGATGCTTGTTGCAGGTACCAGCTTCCATGTATTTCGGTCTTGCAGAGCCTTTAGTTCCTTTTCCATCGCCTCCTTCCATTTCGCCTTATGTTCCCCCCCCAGAGCCTGTGACAGAGTCGTGGGCTCGCGCGGAGATGGCGGCGGTGGATGCTGGACGGAGACCCATAAGCCGAGAATTTGCAGTCCCGTGGGTGTGTGTCGAGGGGAATTTTCATTCCCGGAATAGGCTGCTTCGTCACCATCTTCTGGATCAGGTAAGAAGTTTGGGCCGATGCGTTCTGAGATGTTTGTGTCGGCCGGGTGAGGTGTAACGTAACCTTGGTCAGCGAAGTGGTTAAGGGTGTCGAGATTGTTGCTATCGAGAGGATTGTCGTCGTCGAGTGGGACTGGCACGGAGCAGTAAGGGAGTGGTCCGGCAGCTTCCGAAGCTCCAGGTACGTCTTCTTCTGCTGCGTCAGCTTCGGCAGCACGGTCAGCGAAGGAGCGAAGGCCTGCGACACCGTCGGTGGGGTCTTCTGTGTTGGCGACGTTGTCTAGGTAATGTTGCAACGTCAGTCGTTCGTAGAAGATCACATCACGTGATGCCACGGTATTTTTGTCTTGTATGTCGAGGATTTTCCATGCTTGAAAATGTTGTGCGATGCCGAGGTGTAGCCCCCATCGTGCTCGTTGAGTGAAACGTCCTGCTCTGGCTGTGTGGGGTCTGTACTGTACCATGCAACCGAAAACCCGAAGTAATTTTGTGCTGCCCCTTTTTCGTGTCCACAGCAGGTGCGGTGATGCGTTTTTGGGGAGCGATGACGAGGATAGCAAATTGTGCAAGTGGACTGCATGGGTCATCGCGTCTGGCCACAGTGCATTGGGCAGTCTCATCCCCAGGAGCAGCTTCCGCATCGTCGTCTGCAAGGTCCGGTTCATTCTTTCTGCGACCCCCTGTTGCTGGTGAGCGTAGGGTAGAGACACCAGGCGTCTGATTCCTCTCGCCGCCAAGTAGGTCCTGAATCGTTGTCACTGGTATTCTAGTGCGCCGTCGAATTGGAAACTCTTGAGCGTAGTTCCTGATTCTCGTTCAGCGATTGGGAGCCACGTCGTGAAGCCTTCGAAGGCTTGATCTCGCGTCTTGAGGTTGTAGTGCCAAACATATCTTGTTGCTGCATCGATAAAAGTGATGACGTAGTTGAAGTCGGCTTCCGTGTCGTCTCGAGGCATGTTTAAGATGTCGATGTAAACCTTTTCCATCGGTGCATATGTAGGCGCACTTGGATTGTGATGTGATGGGAAGGGTTGATGGGGAAGATCTGCTTTGGGGCACGTGAAGCACCGTGCGCGAGGTCTTCGAAGCTCTTGGCCGCTTGTTGTAAGAAGAGCGTTTCGTTCTAATACTTCGGCTTAGATTGTTTGTAGTACGGTGTTGTTTGCAGGATGCCCAAGGCGTTGGTGCCAGATGTCGTCGGAAGCTCGATGGCCGGGCGAGCGTTGGTACATGTCGGTGTTGGAGAAGAACGCGACGACCGTGGCGGGACTTCGGCAGACTTCTCGTGTGATGGGTATAAGTTGATCTGCTTCGGTTGGCGGTCCTCAGATCGCTGGTGGTGGTACTCGGCTGGGTCCTGCTGCTGTTACTGTAGGTGATGATTGGGAAGGGACACTTGCTGGTACTTGTCTTTCTTGTGTGATGACTGCTAATGCTCGTGTTCTCTCTGCTGCAGGTATGGTGTTGGAGTACCAAAATCCATCGGGGTTGAAGTCGGGATCAAGATCCGGCGGGTGTGTCCAGGCGGCGAACGACACAATCCCATCGCTGTCGGCAGTACCGCGGTCGGGGACGAAGTCCAACACGAAGACGCCGGACTTCAGGAGAGCACGACCGATGAAGAGGCCGCCTTTCCCGTGGTAAAGACGAAACTCGTTGGAGTCCGAGTCGCACTCCAAGTGAATCCCTTTTGCCATTAGCTGGCTGACGCTTAGCAGATTGTATCCCAAGTTGTCAACGATTAAGACCTTGTTGAGTTGAAGGATGACGTTAGTTTCCATGGACTGTAACTGAACCACCCCTTGTCTGTTTGTTTTCAGGTTCTCGTTGTTGGCGACGGTGATGATGACGTCGCGGTTGAGGCGTCGCTCTCGTTGCACGAAGCATCCAGAAGAACACATGTGTTGACCGCAACAACTGTCCAAGAACCAGGCGTTTCGCCCGGTGGGTTCGGCGTTGGCGACCGCAGCGTACAGTGGCGGAATAAATTGTCCACATGTTCAGCCTTTTTTGGCATTTTGATGAGTGCAGCGGCGTAAACATTAAGCCTTAATGTATGGTGTGCATACACGCTGAGAAGTTCAGTTACAGCACACACTCGAGTTGACAAACACCAAAGTAGTACCACACATGGTCCTTAAACACCTAAGCATAGCATAGGAGAACATGTGGACAATTTGTACCGGAAAAAGATATCATACTAGATTCTAGGAAAACTAGTACCTAGTCCAGCGTCCCTTTGCCCGAATCACTGCCTTGATCCTCCTCGGCAGGCTGTCGATCAGGTTTGCACACACCTCCGCCGGTATCTTGTCCCATTCCTCCTGCACCCTCTCCCACAGCTCCAGCATTCCCCTTGGCGGCTTTTCGTACTTCCCCAGCTGCCTTTTCAAGTATGCCCACAGGTGCTCAATCGGGTTAAGGTCCGGGGAGCACGACGGCCATTCCAGCACCGCGTACTCCTGCTCCCCAAGCCAATCTTGGACCAGACGAGACCTGTGCTTGGGATCATTGTCGTGCTGGAAAATGACCTCTGAGGGGGAAAGCTCGAAAAAATCGATGGTCTGTTTGAGCTCATCTTGCAAGATGCTGCGATACAGCGGCCCATCCATCCTGCCATCTATCTTGCACATGAACCCCGCCCCCTCATACGTCATGCAACCCCACACCATCACAGAACCGCCCCCATGCTTAACTGTCTGTTGGACTTGGTGGCTCCGAAGGCTGGTGCCCTCGTGAATCCAGGCGTACGCACGTCCGTCGGAGCAGTAGCGGTTTATCTTTGTCTCGTCAGACCAAATCACCCGCTTCCAGTCCTCCAGCGTCCAGTCGGCATGCGACCGCG